TTCAGAGTGAGTTGGCTTGCTCCTTGTAAACCCTCACTACCAGTCTGTCTGCCTTTCATCTCTCTGGGGTTATCCAGAACAAACAAAACATAAATGAGTATAATTTCTGTAGGCATATTCTATTTATAATCCTTCAATCCATAGCTCATTTTAAATATTTGAGCAAAAAAGTAGACACTGAGGAATAACTATACCTTGAAACACAGAAGACAAAGTACCTCTTTCTTTTGTTTTCTACAACGAATGTGAAATAAATACATAAATATTTTGAAACCCCTACAAAATATAATAAGGCTGAAGTGATTAATTAAAATAGCCCAGCGGGTAGCGTCATATAGTCCGGGAGCGGCCACCGCACTCCGGTCTGGGCGACGAAGTGAGACTCCAACTCAAGACGAAACAAATGTTCGACAGCCACAGGTAGCTACCATATTGGACAATGCCGAATGTAGAACACTTTCATTGCTGGACAAAGTTCTGTTGAGAAGCGGTGGTTAAGTGATGAGCTATTTACACAGTCCCAAGAATTTTCCCCGCAGAATGCTGCTTTTTATGGACTCTTTGTGTTTGAGTCGGAGTCTCGCTCCGTCACCCACGCTGGAGTGCAGCGACCCGCTCACAGCCACCCCAGCGTCGACCTGCTGGGCTCGCGCGATCCTTCCGCCTCAGCCTTCCGAGTGGCCGGGACCACAGGCGCGCGCTACCACGCCCGGCTCCGGCTAATTGTTTGTTTACTGGAGAGACCAGGTCTGGCCAAGTTGCCCGGGCCGGCCTCGAACGCGCGGGCTCAGGCAGTCCTCTCGCTTCGGCCTCCCGAAGTGCTGGGATAACAGGCTGAGCCCCGAGCCTGGCCTGACTGATTTTTTTTTCTTTGAGTCGGAGTCTCACTCTGTCGCCCAGACTGGAGCGCGGTGGCCGCTCCCGGCCACCGCAGCCTCGCCTGCTGGGCTCCGGCAATCCTTCTGCTCAGCCTTCCAAGGAGCCGGAATTACAGGCGCGCGCTACTGCGCCCGGCTGATTTTTTTAATTTATTGTAGAGATGAGGTCTCGCTTGCCCAGGTGGGTCACGAACCCGCGTGACTGATTTTTTGAAGACAGGATCTTGCTCTGTCACCCCGGCTGGAGCGCAGTGGCACAATCACGGCTCACTGCAGCCTCAGCCTGGGCTCAGGTGAACCCGTGGGCCCAGTAATGTCCTTAATGGCAAACGGAAATATAAAATACTGTGTTCCGTTTAGTGTACATGTCTTTTTAAAGACTCCTTTCATCTGGAAAAGTTCCTGAGTCGTGTTTCGAAACACTGACTTTTTGAAGAACACAGGCCTGTTTACAGAAGGTCCCTCAATTTGGGTTTGTCTGAGATTCCTTAATGACTGAATGTAGGTTGTGTTCTTTTGGAGGGAATACCTGAGAGGTGACGCTCAGATCTTCTCACTGCGTCATATCAGGAGGCACATGCTGTTGATTAGCTCTGCCTTCCTGACAACATTAACCCCAGATTTCTCACTGGCAAAGTTATTATTTTACACTTTAGAATTAGGAAGTCTTCTGTAGGAGGCTGGACGCAGTAGCCCACACCTGCAATTCCAGCATTTTGGGAGCCCGAGGCAGGAGGATTGCTTTGAGGCCAGAAGTTTGAGACCACACTGGGCGACGCAGTGAGACCCTACCTCTACTAAAAAATACGAAAATTAGCTGGGCATGGTGGCGCGTGCCTGTAGTCCTAGCTATTCTGGAGACTGAAGCTGCTGGACTCAGCTGATCCTTCCACCTCAGCCTTCCAAGCAGCTGGAACTACAGGCATGCACCGCCACGCCCAGCTAATTTTTTGATTTGTTGTAGACATGAGGTCTCACCAAGTTGCCCAGGCTGGTCTGGAACCCCTGGCTCAGGCAGTCCTCACACCTCCCCTCCCAAAGTGCTCCCCTTCCAAATTGTAGGCGTGAGCCACCTAGCCCGGCTGCAACTTACTCTTAAATGGTTCAAGAAAACATGGGTGTGTACAAGGGTGAGGGCGTATGAAATAACAGGAAGGGAAAGAGGAAGGGAGAAAAGAAGGAAGAGAAGGAGAAATAATAAAGAAACCATGATAACGTGCACGTCTGGGTGAAGAGCATACAAGAATCCTGTGTATTCTTTTTACAATTCTTCTGAAAATCTGAAATGATCTAAAAAATTTTTTCTCTCAGTTGTCAGTGTTTAGGTGACTGTCAATTTTTTGGCCAATGTAACAACAGAATTGTGACACGTGATTTTGAGCCTCTTTTTGTATTTGTGAAATTATCTTCTTGAAGGTATTCCTCAACTGGGACTGCTGGGTCTAAAAATGTACGTTCTCCATTTCTGACACATTGCCAAACTGCCCTCCCAAGGAGTGCATGGTAGTCCCCCCTCATCCATGGTTTCAGTTACCCACAGTCACCTCTGGTCTGAAAATATCAAGCTATTTTGACAGGGAGTGCGAACACATGCATGAGCATGCACATCCACATAATGTTATTTCAGTGTACTGTTCTAGCTTTCCTACTTCATTATTAGTTTCATTGTTCATCTCTTACTGTGCCTAATTTAGAAATTAAACTTCATCATAGATGGGTATGTGTAGGAAAAAACAGTGTATATAGGGTTTGGTATACTGCATGGTTTCTGACATCCACTGAGGGTCTTGGCACGTGTCCCTGCAGATAAGGGGGGGCTACCTTATACTGATTCACACGTTACCAGTAGGGCAAAGGAGTACTCACTTCACACCCTCGCTAGTCAGATTCATCATTTTTTCTGTCCCTGGCCTTATCGCACACGTTATAGTTCATTAATACAGAATGTGAGCCTATTTTTAAGACCATGAAAGCTACATGAGTGCTTAGTTTTCTGTTACAACCAGATTTCAGTTACATGGCAAGACATAATTATAATAAATGAAACACAAAGTAGTTTCACATTATCTTACCGTAAACTTTACCAAACCGAGTCCTTTGGGAATAACTTACGTGGCTTCTGGGAACAAATAAGACTGTTTAGAATGACAAAAGTCACTAAAACATCTCAGACTCTAGGTTTCTCAAACTTAGCACTACTGACATTTTGGGGTGTTTAATCTTTGTTGTGGGGACTGTCCCTGTGCACTGTAGGATGTTTAGCGGCATCCCTGGACTCTACATACTACATTCCGGTAGTCACCCACCCAAACACAGTTGTGACAACCACAAATGTCTCCAGACATTGTTAAACGGTCCCCGAGGGGCAAAACCATCTCTGGTTGAGAACCACTGAAACAGAACAGTTATCAGAAATCTAAATACTGAGAACTAATTTCAGAAAGAATTAGAAAACGTACAGAATCTGGAAATCAGAGGCTGATATCAATCTATAGCAGTATTCGGCAACTTTTTTCTGTAAAAGGCTAAAAGGAAAGTATTTTAGTCTCTGAGACACATGTGGTTTCTGGTTTGTTTTTTATTTTTATTTTTTGAGTCGGAGTCTCAAAGTCACCCAGGCTGGAATGTGGTAGCAGGCTCACGGTCACCACAGCCTCGACCTGCTGGACTCAAGAGATCCTACTACTTCAGCCTACCAAGTAGCTGGAACCACAGGTGTGCACCACCATGTCCAGCTACCTTTTTGATTTATTTTAAAGATGAGGTCTTGCTTTTGCCCAGGCTGGTCTCGAACCTGTTTGCTCAGGCAATCCTCTTGCTTCCACCTCACAGAGAGCTGGGATTACAGGCTTAAGCCATCGCCGCCGACTGGTTTCTCTTTCAACTACACTGCTACAACATGAAAGCAGCCATAGACAAAGCATAAATGTTGAGCTTGGCTATGTTCCAATAAAACTTAATATTAGAGGTATTTAAATTTGAATTTCACATAATTATCACGTCATAAAATGTTCTTTTACTCTTTCTTTACAACCATTTAGAAATACGAGATGGGTGCGATGGCTCACAGCTGTAATCCCAGCACTTTTGAAGGCTGAAGGGACAAGATTGCTTGAACCCAGGAGTTCAAGACCATCCTGGCCAACATGGTGAAACCTCATCTCTACAATGAAGTTTTTTAAAAGTGCTAGGTGTGGTGCTGTGTGCCTGTTTTCCCAGCTACTTAGAAGATCTAGTGGAAGATTCACCTGAGCCCAGCAGGTCACGACTGCAGTAGCCATGACTGTGCCACTCCAGCCTGGGCAACAGTGAGACACCAACTGAAAAATAAAATAGAGTAAAAACTAAATTGGCTGGGCGTGGTGGTTCATGCCTATAATTCCCGCACTTTGGGAAGCCAAGGTGAGAGGACTGCCTGAGCCCACACGTTTGAGACCAGCCCGGGCAACCTGGCGATACAACATCTCTACGATACATTTTAAAAAGTAGGCCGGGCTCGGTGGTTTAGCCTGTAATCCCAGCACTTGGGGAGGCCAAGGTGAGTGGATTGCCTGAGCCCGCGGGTTCGAGACTCACCTGGGCAACTTGGCGAGACCTTATCTCTACGATAAATAAAAAATTAGCCAGGCGTGGTACTGCGCGCCTGTAGTTCCAGTTACCTGGAAAGCTAAGGCGGAAGGATCGCTGGAGCCCAGCAGGTCGAGGCTGCGGTGGCCAGGAGCGGCCACTGCACTCCAGTCTGGGCGACAGAGTGAGACTCCAACTCAAAAAATAATGTAAAATAAAAAAAGTAGCTGGGAATAGTGGTGCATGCCCTTAGTTCCAGCTACTTGGAAGGTTGAGGCAGAAGGATCACCAGCAGTTTGAGGCTGCAGTGGCTGTCAGCGTATCACTGCACTCCAGCCTGGGGGACAGAGTGAGACTCCAACTCAAAAAAATAAAAAAATTAAATAAAATTAAAAATAAAAACTTAAATTGCGAATACCATTCTTGGCTCACAGACTGTCCAAAAGCAGATATGCTCTAGTTTGCTAATCCCTGATCCAAAGGTAGTTCATGCATTCTTTAAAAAAAAAGGGGGGGGGGAACCAGTGGCATGGTTCATGTAATTCCAGCACTTTGGGAGGCCAAAGTGGGTGGACTGCTTGAACCCAAGAGTTCAAGACCAACCTGGACAATATAGCAGAACCCTGTCTATCCAAAAAACAACAATAACAAAAAAACCCAGGCTCAGTAAGAGTAAATAATGCCAAACTTATAGTAATATTTTCTTATTGATCTACGCAGTCATTCATTTTTTTCTTTTCGTTTTTTGAGTTGGAGTCTCACTCTGTCACCCAGACTGGAGTGCAGTGGCCGCTCCTGGCCACTGTAGCCTCGACCTGATGGGATCCGGCAATCCTTCCGCCTCAGCCTTCCAAATAGCTGGAACTACAGGCACGCGCTACCATGCTTGGCTAACTTTTGATTTATTGTAGAGATGAGATCTCGCCAAGTTGCCCAGGCGGGTCTCGAACCCGCGGGCTCAGGCAATCTACTCACCTCAGCATCCCAAAGCGCGGGATTACAGGATAAGCCATCAAGTCCGGCAAAATTCTTAATGTTTTTGTTGAAGAGTTTTTATAAACTAATCAAAAAGTGATACTGGTTTCTATATTAGGTACTAGATTCATTCAGGGCTGACCATTATTGCAGATATTATTCTTAGTTGAATTAAATAATTTTTTATTTTTGAGTTGGAGTCTTACCGTGTTGCTGAGGATGGCATGCTCTTGGCCATTGCATCCTCAACCTGCTGGGCTCAGGCAATCCTTCCACCTCAGCCTTCCAAGTAGTTGAAACTACGGGCGGGTGACACCACGTCCGGTTCATTTTTTGAATTACTGTAGAGACAAGGTCTTGCCAAGTTGCTCAGACTAGTCTCGAACCCCTGGGCTCAGGCAATCCTCTTGCCTCTGCCTCCCAGAGTACTGGGATTACAAGCATGAGCCACCATGCCCAGCTAATTTTTTTTAAAGTGTTTCTTTTTAATGTAGAGATGGGGATCTTGCTATGTTGCCCAGGCTGGTCTCAAATTCCTGGCCTCAAGCAAGCCTCACACTTTGGCCTCCCCGAGTGCTAGGATTACAGGGTGAGCAGTCATGTCTGGCCTTAAATGGTCTTTAAAATACCTCTCAATTCTAACAGTCTTTATTGTTAAAATTACTCTAAGGGATCAGGGGCAGTGGCTCACACCTGTAATCCTAGCTTTTTGGGAGGCGGAGGTAAGAGGATTACCTGAGCTCAGGGTTTGAGACCAGCCTGAGCAACATGGCGAGACCTCATCTCTACAATAAATAAAAAATTAGCCAGGAATGGTAGTGCGTGCCTATGGTTCCAGCTACTTGGAAGGCTGAGATAGAAGGATGGCCTGAGCCCAGATGGTTGAGGCTACTGTGGCCACAATCATGCCATTGAACTCCAACCTGGACAGGAGGATTGCTTGAGCCCAGGAGTTAGAGACTAGCCTGGAGAACACAGTAAGACCCTGGTGCTCAAAATAAATAAATAAACCTTAAAAGTTTAGAGGGAGGATATTTATTTACTAAAAGCAACTATTTTGAAGGAGTGAAATAATCCGGGAAAACATAACTGCAAATTCAGGAACAGTTCACACAGCAGCACCTGTAGAAACCAACTGTTGTCAAATGATTTTCAATGTCATAGCTGATTCGTTTCTCAATTACATGTCACTTAAATCATTAAATCCTTAATATAACACTACCTTTGCATGCTTCAGTTCTAACTCTGCCAGTTCCACTAAATTTTTTCTGAATGCAGCCACTCTTCTTGTCTTAAAATCTATAAGTTCTGTGAACAAAGAAATGAGGATTAACTACTTAATTTACATAATTGTCATCAAGCATATCTTGTGAGTAAAGTTTACTATAATAACAGTACCTTGTTTTGCAGATTCAGATATTTTTTCAAATTTCTGACAACATAATTGTTGGGAGGTTTCAGCCTGTAGAACGTCTTTATTTTTTGCTCTTGCTTTATCCAATGCTTTATTAGCATTTTCATAATCCACTAGTGACCTAGACCTTCGATACAGGAGATCCTGTAAAACAGAATGCTTCACAATAGTATATGCTGCATATTTCTAGCAGTCTCCACTACCAAAACCAGCCCCACACAGGGAATATGACATGCCAGTTAATCTTCTAATTTTTCTTTTTTTTTGAGTTAGAGTCTCACTCTGCCACCCAGGCTGGAGTGCAGTGGCACACTCACCGCCACCCCAGGGTCCACCTCCTGGGCTCCAGCAATCCTTCCGCCTCTGTGTTCCAAGTAGCCTGGAACTACATGCACGTGCTACCATGCCCAGCTAATTTCCTATTTATTGTAGAGACGAGTTCTCACCAAGTTGTCCAAGCTGGTCTTGAACTTGCAGGCTCAAGCAATCCACTCGACTCGGCCTCCCAAAGTACTGGGATTACAGGCTGAGCCACCAAGCCTGGTCTAATTTTTTTTAATAACAGCTTTATTCAGATAATCTAAATATTATACAACTTGTCATTTAAAATACATAACTCAGTGGTTTTTAGCATGCTCACAGAGGTGTGTAATAATCAACACAAAACCGATTTTAGAGAATTTTCACCATTCAAAAAGAAACCCCATATCCTTTTCCTTTTTTTTTTTTGAGTTGGAGTCTCATTCTGTCACCCAGACTAGAGTGCAGTGGCCGCTCCCGGCCACCGCAGCCTCAACCTGCTGGGCTCCAGCGGTCCTTCTGCCTCAGCCTTCCGAGTAGTCGGAATTATAGGCGTGCACTACCATGCCCAGCTAATTTTTTGATTTATTGTAGAGATGAGGTCTCGCCTGCCAGGCGGGTCTCAAACCCGCGGGCTCAGGCAATCCACTCACCTCAGCCTCCCAAAGGCCCGGGATTACAGGCTGAGCCACCGAGCCCGGCTTCTTTTTTTTTTTTTTTTTTTTAAAGAGATGTGGTCTTCCTGGGTGCAGTAGCTCACGCCTGTAATCCCAGCACTTGGGAGGCAGAGACGAGAGGACTGCCTGAGTCCACACGTTCAAGACCAGTCTGGGCAACATGGTGAAACCTTGTCTCTACAAATAAATCAAAAAATTTGCCGGGCATGGTGGTACATACCTGTAGTTCCACCTACTAGGAAGGCTGAGGCAAAAGGATCGCCTGAGTCCAGCAGCTCAAGGCTGCGGTAGCCGTAAGCATGCCACTGCACTCTAGCCTGGACGACAGAGTGAGACTCCAACCCCGCCCCCGCAAAAGAGATGTGGTGTCACTATGTTGCCCGGGCTGTTCTCGAACTCCTGAGCTCAAGTGATCTTCCTGCCTTGGCCTCCCAAAGTTCTGAGATTATAGGAATGAGCAACTGCGCCCAGCATAATCAACTGACCATGCCAGGCTACTTTTTGATTTATTGTAGAGACAAGGTTTCGCCAAGTTGCCCTGGCGGGTCTCGAACCCACGGGCTCAGGCTATCCACTCGCCTCAGCCTCCCAAAGTACTGGGATTACAGGCTAAGCCACCAAGCCCGACCTCACAAAACTATTTAAAATCTCTAGAAAATAACAGATGAGGAAATCTAGATCATCTTAGGTTTGGTGATATCTATTTTTTTTGGAGTACTGCGTTATCACCAGCTCTGGTGTAACTTTTTAGATACAACACCAAAGACACAACCTATGAAATAAATAAGTGATAAGTTGGACTTCATCAAAACTTCTGCTTTGCAAAAGATACTGTCAAGAGAATAAAAAGGGGCCAGGTGCGGTGGCTCATGCCTATAATCCTAGCAATTTGGGAGGCCAAGGAGAGAGGATTTCCTGAGTCAAGGGGCTCAAGACCAGCCTTGGCAACTTGGCGAGACCTCATCTCTACAATAAATCAAAAAATTAGCTGGGTATGGTGGCGTGTGCCTGTAGTTCCGGCTACTTGGAAGGCTGAGACGGAAGGATCGCCTGAGCCCAGCAGGTCGAGGCTGCAGTGCCCGTAAGCATGCCACCGCACTTCAGCCTGGGCAACAGAGTGAGACGCCAACTCTAAAAAAAGAAGAAAAAAAAAGAATAAAAACACAAGCTAAAGACTGGGAGAAAATACATGCAAAACATTTATCTGATAAAAGACTTTCATCCAAAATACGTGAAGAACTCTTCAAATTCAAGAATATAAACCTACTTGAAAAATGGGCAATAAACCTTAACAGATATCTCATCAAAGAAGATACACAAATGGTAAATAAGTATATGAAAATATTCAGCTGGGCGCAGTAGCTCACACCTATAATCCCAGCACTTTGGGAGGCTGAGGTGAAAGGACTGCCTGAGCCCATGGGTTCGAGACCAGCCTGGAAAACTTGATGAAACCTCATCTCTACAATAAATTTAAAAATTAGCCGGGTGCGGTGGCACATGCCTGTAGTCCCAGTTACTTGGAAGGCTGAGGTGAAAGGATCACCTGAGCCTAGCAGGTCAAGGCTGCGGTGGCCGCCAGCGTGCCACTGTACTCCAGCCTGGGCGACAGAGTGAGACTCCCAACTCAAAAAACAAAAAAAGTGAACAATTCAGCCACCCGGGCATGGTAGCTCATGCCTATAATCCCAGCACTTTGGGAGGCAGAGGACAGAGAACTGCTTAAGTTTAGGAATTTGAGAGACACACACACACACACACACACACACACACACACAGCCAGGTGTAGTGGCGCTTGCCTATAGTACCAGCTACTTGAGAGGCTGAGACAGGAGGATCGCCTGAGCCCAGGAGGTTGTGGCTACAGTGAACTGTAATTGTGCCACTGCACTCCACTCCAGCCCGGGTGACAGAGACCAGACTAAAAAAAAAAAACTCTAATAAAAGGGGGAAGAATTCAATTCATTTTATCACTGCCCATCCATGTAAATAGGTTAAAAGACACAATTTGATTTAAAATAATTTGGTATGAGCAGTATATTTATAAGTATGTAAGTATTTAAAGGGTTATTGATAATTTGATAAAAATTATCAGCATTGCTAATCAGATGAAAATTTTCTGTGTTGTCTCAATTCACAAATTAACACTGAATCTGGATTATCTGAATGACTAAGTTCTCAGTGCTTTTTTAGATTCCTGCGTTAAACATTTTTTTGACTAGTAAGACTTCTAGTCTTGCACATAAACAACATTCCAAAAATAAACGTGAGTTGTTCTAAAGTAAAACATACTCTTGGTCAGCTGCAGAAACTCATGCCTATAATCACAACACTTTGGGAGGCCAAGGCAGGAGGACTGCTTGAGTGCAGGAGTTCAAGACCAGCCTAGGCAACATAGTGAGACCTTGTCTCTACAAAATAAAATTTTAAAAATTAGCTGAGCATGGTGGCGGACGCCTATATCCTAGTTGCTCAGGAGGCTGAGACGAAGGGATCATTCTGAGCCCAGGGTGACAGGAATAAAATCCTGACTCAAAAAATAAAAACAAGCCGAACTCGGTGGCTCAGCCTGTAATCCCGCACCTTTGGGAGGCTGAGGTGAGTGGATTGCCTGAGCCCTCAGGTTTGAGACCCGCCTGGGCAACTTGGCGAGACCTCATCTCTACAATAAATCAAAAATCAGCCAGGCGTGGTAGCGCACGTCTGTAGTTCCAGCTACTTGGAAGGCTGTGGCAGAAGGATCACCGGAGCCAAGCAGGTCGAGGCTGCGGTGGCCGGGAGCGGCCACTGCACTGCAGTCTGGGCGATGGAGTGAGACTCCAACCCAAAAAAATTTGAAAATTTAAAAATTTTTTTAAAATAACAACAAATTATTGTTTTATGATGCTCTTACCCTCAAGAGAGGACTTACATAAATCAAATTAGAAATCCTTTAGCTATAACAATGGTTACTTGGGAGGTTTACTTTTGTTTTTGCAGGTATTTTACCTGAAGAAATATACCTCATTCAATTTTTTGAAAAGTGCCAGATTATACTGTAGTAGAAATTTATAGAGGAAACTTTTTTTTTGAGTTGGAGTTTTACTCTGTCACCCAGGCTAGAGTGCAGTGGCACACTCACAGTCATTGAAGCCTCGACCTGCAGGGCTCAGGTGATCCTTCCACCTCAGTCTTTCAAGTTGCTAGAACCACAGGCATATGCCACCATGCCCGATTGATTTTTTTATTTACTGTAGAGACAAGGTCTAACCATGTTGCTTAGATTGGTCTTGAACCCCTGGGCTCAGATAATCCTCACACCTCTGCCTCCCAAAGTGCTGGGATTACAGGCATGAGTCACTGCATACCATTTTTTTTTTGAGTTGGAGTCTCACTCTGTCTCCCAGGCTAAGTGCAGTAGCACAGTCACGGCCACCGCAGCGTCGACCTGCTGGGCTCCAGCAATCCTTCTGCCTCAGCCTTCCAAGTAGCTGGAACTACGGGTGCGTGCTATCATGCCCAGCTAATTTTGGATTTATTGTAGAAACGACATCTCGCCAAATTGCCCGGGTTGGTCTCAAACCTGCGGGCTCAGGCAATCCACTCGCCTCGGTCTCCCAAAGTGCTGGGATTACAGGCTGAGCCACCAAGCCCAGTCAAAACTTTTTTTTCCTTTTTTTTAGTTGAAGTCTGACTCTGTTACCCAGAATGGAGTACAGTGGCATGCTCATGCCCACTGCAGCCGCGACCTGTTTGGCTCAGGTGGTCCTTTTGCCTCAGTCTCCCAAGTAGCTGGAACAACAGGCATGTATCACCACGCCTGGCTAATTTTTTTTTTAATTGTAGTGATACTACCATGCCTGGCTACTTTTTTATTTAATGTGGAGACAAGGTCTCACCAAGTTGCCCGGTGCTGGTCTCAAACCCGTAAGATCTGGCAATCCACTCTCCTCAGTCTCCCAAAGTGCTGGGATTATAGGCTGAGCCACCATGCTCAGCCAGAGGAAACTTTTATGTGGGGTTTCTCACATAAAATATGTACAACTACACACATATGTACAATTTCTAAAAGGAGAAAAAAAAATTGTCACTTGAAAATATAAGTTAAAATCACGAGACAATCATCAACATCTTAAGCCTAAACAATTTCTGAAGAAATGGTTTTTTGTAAACAAGCTCACTAAAAAAAAAATAGTTACCTTAGCAGCTTGAGATTCTCTTAAGTAATATTTTAAAAGGTCAGAAAGTTTGAGGTCCTCATCAGCAGACACTCGTGCTTCTATTTTCTGAAAAAAAGGAAAAAATTAAGTATTTGGTCAGTAATTATATCCTCTCAGAGTTTTCCTTAATTACTATTAAAAAACTAAAGTTATAAATAACTATAGTATCCACCCCAGTTTATCTTGGTTTTCTTCCCTTCTAGCCTGTTAACTTTCCTTTGCAACTCTGACATATAATGAACAGAAACAAGATCAGATCAAGCAGGATTAGTAAATTTTTGAAAGGACTCTATTTTTTATTCAAATGCTTGGTTATTGAGACCAGGTGTTCAAGGCCAGCCTGGACAATATAGAGACACCTCGTCTCAACAAAAAACACAAAAAATAAGCCGAGCATGGTGGCACATGCCTCTAGTCCCAGTTACTTGGGAGGCTGATACAGAAGGATTGCCTGACCTCAGGAGGTAAAGGCTGTAGTAAGTACTCCAGCCTGGACAACAGAGTGAGTATGTGTGAATATGTGCGTGGGCGTGCATGGGCGTGCGTGCGCGCACACACATACACACACACACACACATACACACACACACGCCTGGCTATAAACCAGTTTCAATATCAACTTTTACCTTCACTAATATATTCTCTCTATTCATTTCAATTGTAATTGATGTGTACACACAACTTTAAAGTAACAAAGGCTAGCAATGATACACTAAGCCATTCAAATCAATCCTGGTGAGAATACCTAGAAAACTTCACTAAAGCATTAATAGCCAGGCGCACACCTAAATTCCAGCACTTTGGGAGGCCAAGATGAGAGGACTGCCTGCATCCATAGGTTCGAGACTAGCCTGGGCAACTTGGCAAGGCCTCATCTCTACAATACATCAAAAAATTAGCCAGGCGTGGTGGCACGTGCCTGTAGTTCCAGCTACTTGGAAGGCTGAGGTGGAAGGATCACCCGAGCCCAGAGGGTTGAGGTTGTGGTGGCCGTGAGTATGCCACTGCACTCCAGACTGGGTGACACAATAAGACTCCAACTCAAAAAAAAAAAGAACCTTCTCCTATGTAACATACAGGAACCATTATATTGGCTAGACACAGTGGCTCATATCTATAATCCCAGCACTTTGGGAGGCTACAGTGAGAGGATTGCCTGAGCCCACAGGTTCGAGACCAGTCTGGGCAACTTGGCGAGGCCTCATCTCTATAATAAATCAAAAATTAACCAGGCTCGGTGGCTCAGCCTGTAATCCCAGCGCTTTGGGAGGCTGAAATGAGTGGATTGCCTGAGCCCGCGGGTTCGAGACCCGCCTGGGCAACTTGGCGAGACCTCATCTCTACAATAAATCAAAAATTAGCCGGGTGTAGTAACACGCACCTGTAGTTCCAGCTACTTGGAAGGCTGAGTCGGAAGCTATCGCCAGAGCCCAGTAGGTCGAGGCTGCGGTGGCCGGGAGCGGCTAACGCACTCCAGTCTGGGTGACAGAGTGAGACTAACTAAAAAAAAAAAAATTAGCTGGGCATGGTGGTCCATGCCTATAGTTCCAGCTACTTAGAAGGCTGGGGAAGAAGGATCACCTGAGCCCAGTAGGTCAAGGCTGCAGTGGCTGTGAGCATGCCACTGCATTCTAGCCTGGTCGACAGAGTGAGACTCCAACTATAAAACAAAAATAAAAAGAACCAAAGCACTAATAAAATGTGCTTGAAGACAATAAAGAATAATAAACACATTTGGTAAGTTTGAGCTGTGATGAAAAGGGAGATCAAATCAGACTATAAAGATGAGAACTCTTCAGTATGGAGAGACAAAAGATAAAGAAAAATGTAGCACATTAACCAAATACAATATGAGACTTTGTATCTTTAACAACCTACCTACACTATAAAAAGCCATTTATGAGACAATTGGGAAAATGTATATACTAGATATTTGGTGACATTAAAGGGGAATCACTGATAATGATATTGATTGTATTAAAAATAATTCTTGCCAGGCACAGTAGCTCACGTCTGTAATCCCAGCACTTTGAGAAGCGTAATCGAGAGGATAGCCTGAGTCCAGGGGTTTGAGACCAGCCTGTGCAACTTGCTGAGACATCGTCTCTACAATAAATCAAAAAATTAGCTGGGTGTGTTGGTGCATACACATGGTTCCAGTTACTTGGAAAACTGAGGTGGAAGGATCACCCAGCAGGTCAAAGTCTGTGGTAGTAGCCGTGAGCATGCCACTGCATCCAGCCTGGGCAACAGAGTGAGATTCCAATCAAAAAAATAATAACAACAATAATAATTCTTTTCCTTCTTATCCTTAAAAGAGAAAGACAGCCGGGCTTGGTGGCTCAGCCTGTAATCCCATACCTTAAGAGGCTGAGGTGAGTGAACTGCCTGAGCCCATGGGTTGGAGACCCGCCCGGGCAACTTGGCGAGACCTCATCTCTACAATAAATCAAAAAATCAGCCGGGCGTGGTAGCGCGCGCCTGTAGTTCCAGCTAGTTGGAAGGCTGAGGCGAAAGAACTGCCAGAGACCAGCTGGTCGAGGCTGCAGTGGCCAGGAGCGGCCACTGCACTCCAGTCTAGGTGACAGAGTGAGACTCCAACTCAAAAAACAAACAAACAAACAAAAACCTGTCTACCTACCTGAATGGCTATAATAAAAACGAAAACACCAAGAGAGCAAATTGGTACAATCACTTTGGGAAACAGTGAACTGCTGAAGCTTTTTACCTGAATACTCTATGATTCATCAATTCCCCTCATAGTTATACATACTCAATTGAAATGCATACTTATGTTCAGCAGCATATGTAAGAGTAGTCTTAGCAGTATTTATTGTTTTTGAGTTGGGGTCTCACTCTGTCACTCAGGCTAGAGTGCAGTGGAATAATCAGGGCTCACCATAGCCTCCACCCCCTGAGCTCAGGTGATCCTTCTGCTTCAGCCTTTCAAGTAGCTGGGACCACAGTTGGGCACCACAACATCTGGCTAGTTTTTTGGTGGAGATGAGGTCTTGCTTTATTTCCTAGACTGTTAGCAATATTATTTTAAAGTCCAAATAGAAACTACCCAAATGCCTAGCGCCAACAGAATAGATATAAGCAAATTAACGGGATACTATACAGCAATAAGAATGAAAGAACTAGGTTCACGCTTGTTATTCCCGCACTCTGGGAGGTCGAGGCAGGAGGGAGCAGGATCACTTGAGGCTAGGAGTTTAAGACCAGCCTGGGTAACACAGTGAGTCGCTGTCTCTACAAAAAAACTTTAAAAATTAGCCGGGTATGGTGGTGCCACCTATAGTCTTAGATACCTCGAAGGCTGTGTGGGAGGATCCCTTGAGCTAAGGAGTTTGAGGCTGCAATGACTCATGATCAAACCACTGAACTCCAGCTTAGGACCAGAGACAAGTTTGAGAACCTTGTCTAAAAAAAAAAAAAAAGAAAGAAAGAAAAAGAAAAACAAACAAACAAAAAAGAATGAACTATACTTACAAGCAACAACATGGATGAATCTTATGAATGTAGAATAAATGAAACACATAAAAATACAAACTGTATAATGCATTTATATAAGATATAAAAACAAACAAAACTAATCTACACTGTTAGAAGCTAGGATAGTTTAGTCTACTAGGAGGCAGTGCCCTTAGAAGGCAGCTGATGCCAGGCGTGGTGGTTCACACCAGTAATCCCAGCACTTTGGGAGGCCAAGGTAAAGGACTGCCTGAACCCAGAGGTTTGAGACCAGCCTGGGAAAGTTGGCAAGACCTCATCTCTACAATAAATAAAAAAATTAGCTGGGCATGGTGGCACACGCCTGTAGTTCCAGCTACTTGGAAGGCCGAGGCAGAAGGATCACCTGAGCTCAGCAGGTTGAGGCTTCGGTGACCATGAGTGTGCCAGCCTGGGCAACAAAGTGAGACTTTGACTCCAAAAAAAAAAGGCAGCTGAAAGCAAGGAGGATGCCGGGCTCGGTGGCTCAGCCTGTAATCCCGCACTTTGGGAGGTTGAGGTGAGTGGATTGCCTGAGGTCACGGGTTCGAGACCTGCCTGGGCAACTTGGCGAGACTTCATCTCTACAATAAAATGAAAAATTAGCCGGGCCTGGTAGTGCGCGCCTGTAGTTCCAGCTACTTGGAAGGCTGAGGTGGAAGGATTGCCGGAGCCCAGCAGGTCGGGGCTGCGGTGGCCGGGAGCAGCCACTGCACTCCAGTCTGGGCAACAGAGTGAGACTCCAACTCAAAAAAAAAAAAAAATGAAAGCGAGGAGGGCAGCTGAGTTGCTGGTAATGTTCTATTTCTTGATCTGGGTATTGATTACATAAGTGTGCTAAATTTGTAAAATTTCACTGAGCTATATATTTCTGGTATGTGCTCTTTCCTATATATATTAATATACTTCAATAAAATGTTAGAGAAAACTTGAAGCTTCCTCAAAAATACTATTTTATGGAAAAATATACCTATGAAACTTCTTACCTAACAGTTACAAGAATAGACATAATAAGCCAGGCTCGGTGGCTCAGTCTATAATCCCAGCACTTTGGGAGGCTGAGGTGAGTGAATTGCATGAGCCCGCGGGTTCGAGACCCGCCTGGGCA